TGTTTTTTACTTACATTCTCATCATCAGTAATGTAAAGTACATCGAACTGAGTTCGGCATCGGGAAAATGGAAATATACAACCGATCTCATCGACTGTACAGGAAATTTGATGAGTGAGTCCCATTTAGACGGAATTCTGTAGTTCTTTCCTGCGGACATAGAAGAGGCTTTTTCCTTAAACGAACTGAGCTGAATATTCTTATCAAAAAAGTTTCCGTTTATTCCGTCTCCCAGTGAGTATTCTTTTGATGATATGAAGATGTACAATACGCTTGTCACCCGCCCCATTATCCGTAAATTTTTTTGTTCCGATTAGTGATGTTAAATGGAGGTAAAAATTTGTCTGTCAAGTATCATCGGAAAGGTGTTTGCCCGCTTACTACCAACTCTTAGCGGTCTCTCATTTATGTGGTCTTTGCCACGACCGCGAGAAAAAATCTGCACACCCACACATAAAACAATGAGTCCAAATCCCTGGTTACTGTAAACTAGTAATCTGAGGTTATACTGTCTCTTCAATCTTTGAGGTGAATGGTGCAGACGTAGTGTATGTAGTACCATATAAAATGATTGGATCCTAGAAATCATCGTCGGTATGTGTGTGTGAGAGAAACGGGTAGTAAATTAAAATTTTGTTCCATCGGTTTTACTGCTTATTTGCAGGGTGAAGTCATCTTTAAAGATTTCATGAGCCTCATCCAAGGTCAGTCTCGGCCTCAAGCTAAAATCCTCACATTTGATGGACAAGATGTGGCGGACGATCCAGCGTAAGTCTTTTTTCATTTCTGTTATCCTTTTTCCCGCCTTTCATCATTTGCATGACGTATTTAGGCAAAGGATGATGCGTTTGAGCTAATTGAATGAAATTCTTCTTAGTTCTGTCAATAACGGTGTAGCTTTTTTCGCTCTGAATGGACACAGATTGTGTTTACTCTCCCAGATCACCTTAAGCATTCGATGTCTGATTTTGTAAATGGGTAAGAAAAGCTTATACGGATCAAAAAGATGATGAACCCCCAAAATATCACTTGGGTCAATTCTCACCAGACATTTGAGTGTAATGAGTTATTTTTTAGCAAAAGGAATTGCTATTTCCAATGCACTGGATAATCAAATAAAATTACGGCCCTTCCGTTCAACAGAAACGGCTAACTTTGCAATCTTCACTATTTCGGATCCTGACTTGATAAATTATTTTTGTATCGTGTACCGCGGAGATCACTAAGGTCTCCTCAGAATTATGTTGAAGTTCAAGAAGAGGGACCGCTTCGCTTTCTCCACCCTCTCCGTATGACATGTCAGTGTTCTTCTGAACTTTCGTCGGCGCACAAAATCCGCTGAAAACTATTGGTCGATTAGAAACAAACAACTCTGAAGTCTTATGAGTATTTCTATCCAGGTGCATGTATGAACAGTGAATAGTTTGAATAAAGAATGCTGAATACCTATGGTACTTGCGAAAATGAGAGCATGTTCCAAATCTCCAGTTCGCCGAGCTTAGCAATCTATTTGCAAACGTTTCATCACCATCCGGGGTGACATCATCAGTGCTTGTGAGGTGACAGTGTTCTGCTTGTACCCGTTCGATGATACATGTATTCTTCTCCGCTGACTATCCTTCGGACTTTACCTTCACGCACAATCCTCAGCTCATCGATTCGACCATAGACCACTAGACTCGAGTTTCGCTCTTATTAGAGCTCATCAGTAGTGCAAATCCACTGTCCTGTCCGGGATTTGAATTCCGGACCCATCGCATGGAAGGCGTGTGTTACCACTGCGCCAACCAGCTCATGCCATGGCTGAACCAAATTGCCAATTCACATTTGTTCAGGTGTCGTCTTCAGTAATAGTCAGTTCAGAGTGGCCTGACAGCAACGAAAGGAGACACAGATGACATACTGTTGTTTCTCACTGTGTTCGACCCGGTTCGCCGTTGAACTGGTGTTGGAGGGTGAGAGTAGAGGGTTGTTCTTCCGTCTTGATTGTGATTTTGATTTGTTCTCAAATCACAACGTGACGTTTTGTTGCATCATTTGGTCCTTGAGTTGCATTAGCGTGTAGACGTGTTCCAGTTCGATTTGTCTGTTTGTTGATTTGATTGGAGAGTGCAAAGCCTCGAGAAATTCTCTGATGTGTTTGACCGGGCAATATAGATAACTCTCACTGATGGAAAGTCAGATTAATGTCCTTTTTTATTTTCTAGTAGGGAAATCAATAATGGTGGATGATGCCTCCTGACCACCGAATAATGTTCACCCGAGCTAAGAGAACCGATTTTCAGTACTTTTTTATAACAGCCTGTTATCGATTCAGTGCCAACTATTGAGAAGACTTCTTCATGCATGAGAAAAAAATTGTTGAGAAGGAATAACAAGCGATTCACTTTCTGTTGAGTATGACAAAATGCCGATTTCCGAGCGGAATATTTCAATCTTTTGTCTATGCAAGCAGGGTCGATTGAAAATTTTGAACAAACTTACGGAAGAGATTGACATGGCTAAAACTAATCGGATGCAACAATTATTGATAATGCTTTTCTCTCTACGTATGTGTTTCTCTCCATATGAACCCACGAAATCGTTTATGTTTCTCCGAATCGCTTATCAGAGCTCCGTGCTTATGGCTTGGTCGACGACCGATCTATTTGAACGGTGACTATGAGTACGCGGCACAAGCGAAATGTCGAAACTGGCAGAGCACACATCCAACTGAACAGGCCCTGACAGCCACCCTGCCTATGGAATCCAGTGCACCTGGTCTATTGTCAAAAGAAAATACCAAACTGGTTGCTTGCTCCCAATTCTGTCGAATGCTCTGCATCCAGATCGCCCCATCGGACTCGTGAAACAATCATCCCAGAATCCCCGACTCATTCTTCAACCCCACTCCCAGTCCTCACTAAATGGTGTTGAGGGGCGGGCGAAACAGACTAATATAGGCAATAATTGATGACTGTGCTAGGAAAATTTCCACAAATGAAAAATATTCTATTCAAGCTATTTGTGCATAAGGGGGGGACAAACGGAAGCTTTTCTAATACACCCCTCCCCAAATCCTGTTGTGTGTCTGTGTGTATTTGTCTGCCAGAACTATTCAGGCTCTGGGTGATGGGGCATTATTTCATACATAATGGGTGGACTATGTTACCGGGTAATGTATGTTGAGCCATTGGAATAACAGATTGATCTTTGCACTTCAATCAGCAAACTATCGTATCTCACACGCACAAAATTACAAGTTCCTTTGTTTGTTTGTTTGTTTGTTTGCTGGTTTGTTTGTTTGTTTTTTTTCTGGATAAACAAACATCTTTTCTTTTCCAGCTTTCGTTCTATTATCCTTTTTGCTATCTGTTTGGTTTAATACATCGGGACTTCTGAAATATCGAACCCATTTTGACTGCATCAAGAATTAAATCTCGCACTTGTTCACTTCTTGCAATCCTACAAACTTTCACCTGTATCATTATTCAAAATGATTCCTTGATTACTAGGAGCTTGTTCAAATGAATTGTTGACTATCTCTATCCCGTATCCGTCTAACACCCAAATCTGTTCTATGTTTACACACCTCTGCCTCATTTGGATGCATCCATATTGCCAGATTGAAGTGGCTTTCAACAAGCATCGTATTTCCCAAGTTGATGCTGCTGGAAAAAACTGTGTACACAATAACATATATACTGTTTCGAGTCACCCCCGGACCCGGAAACAAGTGTTGTAAAAGCCTGCCCGCACTCAACCAATCAAAAGCCTATGTATGCACTACGCCGATCACATTCGTATCTCAAACTGAATCGGCAACTAGTTGCTGTCTATGCAAATATATGCACACACTATTTCTTATAATATGAAAACACAATATGATAAAAGTCACAATGAGAACAATACAGCAAAATCTTGTTCTTGTTATTATTATTATTACTATTTCAACTATGATTATTAATAGTAGCAATATTACTCATTTTATGATTGTTTTGTATGTGCACATGGAAGGTGTGGATACGCGTATACGTGCCTTTCTGTAGTTCCACGAAGCTACCTGTCTTTGTGCATGGGTAGGTGAGTGTTTATATCTGTCTGCATTGTTGTCTCAAATCTGCGAATGATCGGTTTCATTTCTGTTTTTCTGTCTCTCTCTAACTACCTGTTTGTTTGTCTCTTTCCACTGATGTTAGAATTAGGCGATTTGACAAATAAGAAGGCACCTAAAAGAATCAGAATTTCACGCATACATACAAACACACACACATATACATACACAAGTTTCTTGCATATACACGTACAAACAAAGAATCACGTTTCTTTTTCCTGTCGAAATGAGGATCGCCGTTGCGAGATCCCAACCTCCGTTTAATTTTGTATTCACTATTACTTTGGACCATGGTAGGTTTCTAAAATGGGTTGCAAATTAGGTTGGGTGTCACTGGTGGTGCAAACAGTTTAGCGCAACTGCACCGGGGACCTTGGTTTGATCAATGAGTTAGGCTATAGACATAGACTGGGATTTATCTGCTCCCATTCTCAAAGCTGTCGAATCCGGTATTATATTCCTCGTCCGAGTCAACGACTTTGTTTTTCCTGAGGCAAAGTTTTGGGTTTTCCTGGAGAATGCCGGAGGTAAATGTAATTTATCGTTGATGGTGGGCCAACCAAATCCATATTAAAAATTAGCTGTAAAAGGTGTGGTTTTCCGATGAATCTATGACTCTTCAGGTCGATAAATTCAATCATTTTCCAAAAGGACTGCATAAATTTCAATCTTGAAGTTATTCATCAACCATGGTCGCATTGCTTTTGTCGTCAAATCCGAAAAATTGCTGACTGAACGATGCGGTTTCGGTTTGGTTATTCTTTCGTGGCTACTCATGGGTAGTATATGCATAAATACATCACATACAAAACAATTCGAGATGAGACGTTAATCAGTTGGCTACCATCAAAAGAAAGTAGGGAACTTCACACAAGAACACAAGATGAGGGAATTTACTTGCATAAGGTCACGAGTGAGAGGGACGAGACGCCCGACTACGATGAAGCATTCACCCTGTAGTTACGGTTTATCGATTAAAAAATGCACGAAGAATAAAATAAGATTGAGAGATCATTAAGTATCATTTTTCGGTAGAGTATATAAATTAGATTTGAGGTGAAAAATTTCAGTTTCTTGAGTGAACAGGTTTACTTTATTGCGCTGTGTAATTTTTGAGAGTACAACAGCTTAGATTTCAATTAAACATCATACAAGCCAACCTTCACATTGAATACATTGAACAAAAATTGCCCCATATTGTCAAACTTACCTCTGGTCCCAAGTGAATGCAACGTGAAGTTTTGTTCATTCATGAGAAAGATAGGAGACTGTGAAATTCCTATGTACACCAATGCTTGGAATTCAGAACGCGTGAATGGACGGAAATGACCTCATGTTAATTCAGTATGTTACGCGTGAACATGACCATCAAGAATAATTTGTGCAAAGTTAACACAAGAAGTTGTCATACATTGAGAGTTTTACAATTAAGTCACTGATAGAAATTGACAAAAGGAAACTAATGATTGTTGGATCTTATTATCAGACTTGAAAATTTTGTTGAAGAAAGCCAAATAGAATTACTTGAGTTATACAAAAGTATAAGTAGCGGATTTTTAGGTATGAAACCGTATGAGCTTATCAATTAGAAAAGATAAAAGCCGCAGTTTACCAAAGCTCTTGACCAAGGAAGATTTTTGACCATATCGCCTTCAACCTATTTAACGGAGATCAAAATCCTAATTAATGATTGGTTTTCAATACTGCGCAATGTGTAAGAAAGGAAGAGAATGAGAACCCTATGAACATTCAACACCTTCTTTTAAGCTCAACCCGAAATGGGAGAAGACAAGCTGAGGTTGAGAAGAACCGGGTCGGTACTGTGACTAAGGAGGCCATATCACATCGTGCATGATGTATTGGGTGAGTATAAAGCAAAACCAAATCTTCTGAAAGTGTCTGGTATACTTCGGCCACAAAAGTGGGTGAATAAAAGATATTTTTCTCGGCTGGACGCGCCGGGCCGTGTGTGTCCACAGCGCTCATTCACGCTCATTCACAGCTAACAGTAAGTTTTCATTAACCTCACAGTTCCTCCTAAAGTAATCTGATTAGAGAAGAACAATGTATCCTGAATTATTTCCTTCAATCTGTACACGTGCATAAGGCAGTTTAGGAGGTCGGAAATATTATATTATTAATAAACTTGTTCGGCAAACGATGCTGATCGAAATCTTTCTCCACCTGAAACTGTCTGCTCTGTTTGCCGTTACCATCATTCTTTTCACGCTCAGTTTTTACTGGTCCGCTAATCGCTTTTCCGATTTTTAATGCAGTGTTATAAGAAGAAACTTAAATCTTGAAATTTCAATATTTAGACATTATAGTTCATGTGGTTAGTGACTCAAATCAATAATCAATAATTTTAATCAATCGGGGAAACCTAAGCGGTTTCAAAAGAACGAACATCAGGCTTATCCTGAGGGACCAAAAAAGTATTGCGAAGTTCTCGGTGGTGGTGGCCAAGTGGTTAAGTCACCAACTTGTGACCTGGGAGTCCCGGGTTGCCCGTCTTCCCTAATTCTGTATTTGTATGACCGCGGCTCCCCTTCCTGAATGTTGACTGCACATGTGTATATTTAATAAAAAAGGGAAGTAAAAAGACATTAATAATTTAAAAAAAACTGACTAATTCGCTGCCTGTCCGTAGCCAATTCAGATTAAGTCCATCGTCGTTATGTTGTAACGCTGGGATGGGACGGACTGGCGTGATACGCTACCCAAAAAGATACGATCACGTACAGAACTGTACGACCCAGCGACTGAGTGAACGATACACGAATACGCCCGGTAGCAGTATCCAAAGGCAAATCCCAATGGAACCGAAAAGAACGTCCCGCGAAAGTAGTACGATCCCAGAACCCGACCAGGAAGAACAAGGAAGACAGACCTCCAGACGAGGTTGTATATTTGGCTCAACCGTAAAGGCGACGACTATGTACAACTGTTCTGTTTATATACAGTTTGGGGACCGGCCAGCAGTGACCTTGGAAAATAGCTCGAAAGTCATGGAAAATTGGACTAATGATGATCCAATACGGCCGGTGGTGCCGTATGAGTCTTTCTTGGCGCCAGAATCCGGAAATTCAAAGTTTATAAAAATAATTAGAAAAATAATGGAAAATAAAAGAAAATAATCACTGTTATAGGGGAAATGGTCTTTTTAGGGTCAAACAACAACAAAGACATGATAGGTTATCGGACGAATGAACACACCAATTGGGCCAATCACATGACAGGGGCAAAGGTCACACAGTCAACCACGGTGAGTGAACACATGACGGGGTTCAGTCCTACCAGGGCAGACTGATCTTTACCCTATCAGGTTACGCACCTGAGACCTGAGGCATGGATCTTCCTTCTTACTTATGGGAACCATACTGGTTGGTAAATTTTGCCATGCGAAGAGTAGGCAAAATTGATTCATCCATGGATCCATCTTCATGTCTAGAAAAGTTAGCGCTGGAACAGCGGCAACAGTCAAACCCTCTGGAACTACCGAATAATAATTTGGACCTATTTTAGTCCGTGGCATCCCCCGGGAAAATAAATCTCATGCAATCGGATGTTTCAATTGATTTTCTCACTTTTCCACTGAGAAAACGGAACAACACATAGACCTCCTAATAAGCAAGTAACTGATTTGGAACACAAAATGTTAAAGATCTCAGGAATAGCAGTGATCAAATTCTTTTAAATGGCAAAGGATTTATGGAAACCACATTGTGCCATCGAAACACCGCCTAAAAGTGGTCC